CATTGTTACACTACACAATTCAGTCCTGTGCTTGTAGATTTCCAACTTAAAAAAAACCCCTCTCATTCTCTTTTTTGTAACCTTTATCTTTCCTGCTTGGTTATCTTATCATAGCCTTTTTTTCTCTCTACTTCTACTCCTTTGTCCCTTTCCTTCAATTAACTTACTACTTATTAACCCCACAGTTGTTTTACAAATATAGCTGATCTATCCTGAGGATTTTGCAGTATGTGACCATCATCAACATATTCTCTATCTGCCCCAGTCTTAATAGACCACAGTGAAGAAGATATAGCAAATTGGAATGCTTTTTGTATAAGAAACTGGGAAGTCATATTAACAGATTTAAAATGTTAAAATGCATCCTTTAATTATAGTAATAACTAATTACTATTTTAATAACAAATTGCTAATACCTAATAATAATAGTAATAACTACTACCAATAAAGATGGTCTAGCTATTAAAGCATAGGTGTGTGCATCAGGAAATGCAAGTTCTATACATGGTTCTGATGCAGGCATCCTGTATCAGCCTGTTCCTCAATTTACCCTCTTGTAAAAAAAAAAGAAAAAGAAATTATTAATAATATTTATCTCCTCAGGCAATGATTATTTCAGTTAATATTTAGAACATATTTTGAAATCTCCAGTTGCAATGTCCTATAGAAGTGGACAATATAATTAGATGTAGTATTTTAACTCAGATATCTGTGGTTGAATATCTATCAAATTAGTAAGCTAGCAGAAAGCAAAAAAAAAGAGAGGAAATAGGAAAACAGGTTAAAATAGAATGTTTGTGCTTGAACGTGACTGGCCAATAGATTTTTGTTTGGCTGTAGAAATGAAGTCTTCAGAATATATATATATATATATATATATATTGGCTGCTTATTTTTAGCCTGAATGAACAATTCACACTGTCATTTTTGTTGTACACGGTTAAAAATTACACGTTAGTTTTTGTGATGGAGAGTCTTCTCCACTGTACCTCTGTAATGTCACTGATAGAATATCAAGAATGAATTTGGCCTTGTAGTCCATATGAGTGCTGATACTGAGGTATTCAAAGGTTTCTCCCTTTTAGATATTTCCTAATTAACTTGTATTATGCTTTACACATCACATAAGACAATTTACAAAAAGAAAAGAGTGACACCATTCTCCTAACAAGCTTGATACCATCCTTTATGTATACTATCCTTTCACTGACAACAAAACAAAAAGAAAGAAAAAGAAAAAAATGATGTGGCTATTCTGGGAATGTCAAAAGTTGGTATTTTTATTGGTCTTTAACTTGAAAGCAATCCTTGTCAACGTGATGATAAAGATATCATAGAAATGATGCTTTTTATCTGCCTGACACTTAAATCGATGATCCACAAAACAAATCATCATATAGGTATTTTCAAAAACAAGCTCCAAAATGAGCCAGCCTGTCTACAAGTTACATTTATCTTTGACAGAGTAAGTTGCACTGCTTCTCCAGGCACTCACTCACTGCCAAAGCTTCTCTCTCTTGGCTGTTATAACATTGACCCTATGTAGAGGGCAGAACTGAAGATGTTGTATGGATAGAAACTCTGAAATTGGTAGCCTTTTCCAGGGTGTGAGCTCACTTAATGGGCGGCTTTTCTTTCTCTTGGGAGCAACTGCTCTCTCCATCACTAGGACAAGTGACCTGTAGGAGAGGCGTCCAAAGCTAGAAGCTGTATTTTGTTATAAATGCCAGCTTAGATCATAACATGTTTCTGTGACTCATAGTGCTAATGACCAAAGTCTTCGATTTAACAGGCGAGAGGGGGAGAAAAAAAACCAGACACTCTCCATGAGTCTTACTGTAACTTCCAGAAATGTCTGTTTTATTTTAAAAACTGGTCCTTTTCTTTTGTTACTTTTCAAGGAATTAAAGTTTGCATCTAATATTCCTATGTAAATTTTTATCAAACTGTTCATTTAATTAACAACTGAGGATTACCATATAGTATCAGTACACATTTAAAACATGTTTAGGTAAATTATCATTCTTTGCACCAAGGCAGGGCATCTTGAAACTGTGCTGGAGAGGAAGGTGGTGGTTTCTATAAGTGTTCCCTAACTTACACATTTTTATTGGTGTTAATCCACTTCATCTTCCCACAGCAGGCAGAAGCTTTGTGTTACCACAAACATCCCCTCCTCTTTGGGCCTTTTGTCTTGGAAGGAACTGGA